CGGCAGTTTCTCCAACTAGAGAGCGATGGCAAGTTCTTCATTTGGATTGACGAAGCGAACTTCAAAGTTTAGTGCAAACGTACTCGTGGTAAGGCGCCCAGAGGAGTGAGGGCCTGTTGCAAAGTTGTCAACAGTAGAGGCCTCCATTTGCATTTGATCCGTGCATTCACAATGGAGGGGAAAGTATCGATGATCACCCGGAGAGGTCCCCTATCTCTCAAATGGCTACGAAGCTATTTAGACAACCTGAAACGGGAGATGGAGCTCCGGCAGGTTGTCGTGGTATGTGATAATGCACCATGTCACACAACACTGGAAGAACTGTCGTCAGTAGTTGGATCCGATGGAGTAACCATACTGAGATTGAGCCCCTATTCCCCGTTCCTCAATCCGATCGAGAATGTTTGGCAGGTGGTGAAGGCCAGAGTGAAGAATGAGATGAGAGTGCACTACGAGGAACCTCTGGCCGGGGATCCCCAGAAACTCATGACGCAGATGGAATGGAGGCTGCAGTTCCTTGAACGCACTGCCGGAGAAGCCACCAAGGATATCAGCGTTGTGGGATGTCGTAATGCTAATCGATATATGCGTGTACATTTTCCTAATTGTCTAGAAAAAATACATGTTTTTATCACCTTGCTGGCCTATATTTTACACATATGGTTGTATAGCACGCCACTTGCAGCGCGCAGGGACGTGTGAGTATTCACAGTGTTTTCAAAATATGTATGCACATACGTAAGTTTGTGTTCCTACGGGGTGGCAGCGATATCTGATGTCTGTCGCAAGGGAGCGACACGGGACCGGCTTCCAGTGAGCCATGCCCGAGTGATATGTTCAACTTCTGGTCCTTTTCGTGCTGGTATTCGCTGCGCCGTACTCTTTGATGATCAGTCTGAGATAATGTAGATACAGTTTCTTTGTTCGGAACACTAGGATGTTTGAAAAGCGCACTGTAAGGCCAAGTGAGCATGCCGGGTAAAGCAACCGTCAGATATATCACAGTATGGAATATCAGCGTGGATAGTTGAATAGTAGTGAATGGGAAATTCCTGCGCAGGTCATGTCGGCCTTTTCCAAGGCTGAGAGGAACTGATAGCTGCGCAGATGCGAGTTCGCAAACGCGTCCATTGCCAGACAATATGTCGTCATTGAAGCTGAACGAATGAATCACGTGTCTAATGGAAACCGTCTCTGTGCGATGTTTGTCCGCTGTATTTGAGTGCACTGGTGCGTTAACTCGTTACCCGATTGGAATTTGGTCTGTCAAGTTCGGAACCCCCATCAGCCGGTTCGAAAACTGTACTTTAGTATGAAAGCAACCATTCCAACGGTAAGTCCAATCTAATTTGCGTGCCAGAATGGCCCGAATAGCTGTCAATACGATTTGCATACTGTCTTGATCGTTGGGATGATCCCTCGTTTGACCCAATAGCGTGCGTAAACAAACGTGTACGTAGTTGGCGTGGACGCAGTGGCGTAGCAGCTACTCTTGCTGTCCGTGGCAGACTTACAATTGCTGCCGCTCTCGTAGTTTTAAAGCCCACAATTGAAATTGCCATCCAATGTTTCGTTTCACATAACAACAATCACAGATTTAGTTTTACAGTGCTGTCGTGAATACAGCTATTTCTATTGTTAACAGACTCGTGTTCAAAATGTACAGGCACACTTCTCGTGCACTACTTGAAGACGCTGGCATCCGAGCTTAATAAGCGCTCATCGAACGCAATTAAACACCACTGGTCGAAAATCCGACAGACTTTGTTAGCAGCCGGTATGTTTTAATATGGCAAATCAAATGGCCAACCTGGACATTGTGTCACTACGCAGTCTCAGGAACTTATAGATGCTTGCCAACATGTTCCGGATGATAGCGAACACAAGAAGATTCTCAAAGATTTCAGAGCGAAACTGCTCGCTAAGCTGAAAAGAGACCGAGAAGCCTGGTGGCCGAGTGGTCTGCACGCCTGACTTGCAATCATAAGATCACCGGTTCGAACCTATTTTCCTGGTCTGCTTTGTCATCCTGGATGTTTTTTCGGTGCTCATGCAGTGTATGAAACCCCCGTCCGTCGAAAAAATTGACTACTCCGTTGACTAAGTATTACACTGAGCCAATACCGTGGACAGGAGGATCAAGTGTCGCGATAACTGATTATCGCCTGAATTCTGGTGCCATTTGTCACAAACGTCATTGCCTGTCGTGCAAGTGCGAAATACTGCCAAGCAGCCGGGTTATGTACGGCACACATATCTCTCAACACTACTTGTGTGCGCAAGAATTCTTTACTTCAACTTTTATAGCGCTTGTCGTAATGATTCTACGTTGTTAAACGTGGTACCGACAGAACATCAGATACAGACAAGCGGAATTTTAAAGTCATTACTGCCATCTATCTGCGCTCAGGAAATGGAGCTTGCGAAAGAGCAAATTTCTCACAATTGCGGTTTTCAAACTGCAACCGTGCGAACATCGGAACGCTATAAACTACCCACTCTGAAGATATCTTCGACGCACAAGGATACGTAAATAATAATGCTGTTGTTCACATTCATTATGTCGTGCATTCTCTAGCTCGCACCCTGGATCCTTGGGTTCACTGTGAATATGTTGTTGCATTTACACGAGTACCGACAATCGTCTACACCGCACACAGGACACAGTGTCTCCATTAGCGACGTGTACAGTTTTGATAGATGTTCTTTATAGTTATCAATCGACCATCTAGGTGCCGTGCGATTGTTGACTTCGAAATGTCCTTGTCCATTTCTGCTCGTACTCGCATTTCCTGTAGCGTAAGAGTTGAGTCTCTTGCGATCCAATCCAGGATGTTATCTACGTCTTCCTCCGACAGAGTCCGCTTAAGACCGCGCGCCTACCTAGTACTCGGCTCCTGATCAAGAGAACAACGAATCCAGGAGTAGGCTGTTTGATATTTGACGTTGTTCACAGTTGCCACCAGCTGCCAGTCATCACCGTTGACGAAGGCGCCAAAAACTCGCTCACGCATGTCTGATGAGATACCCTGTCGAATGCGAGAAGGCATGCCGACGACATTAGTATCATAGACATGGTTTCGGTCGTGCGCTTATGTTCCAGCTGTTCATTGCTCGCAGACCAATTGTGATCCACCGTTTCGGAAGTGAGGGGGGCGCATACAAGCCCGTTGTAGCGCCGAAGTGCAAGTCTCACCCAGTCAACGGGCAGCGCGCTCACCTCCCCAGACTAACGTACCGAACCTTGGCATCCGGCCAATGAGAACACACTTAAGGTCAGAGGATTGGCTCTGAGCGGCTGGCGAATCACACAGGGTTTTGCAACATTTTGAGGATTCTTTGCAAACTTTTGGACTTTCTTTGCAAACTTTTGGACCTTTATGAAATTTCGCAGTAAATGCTATAGAATTGCGTCCTTGAACCTGCGATACGTGTGACACTAGTTGGAGATTATAATTTATCTGGAAGGCCGCGTACATCGGACTGCTGTGAGGGACGTTTTTTTCTGTCGGCTTGAGCTATCATCTTCTCGGTCTGCGGAGGTGAGGCACGTTCAGCTCCTTGTTTATCCTCGTCTCCGTTACATTGCTTGTGTTAGTTGGTACTATCATCTGCGCACTGGTTAGACACCTATATGAGCAGTACGTCACCGCGGTCAAGTTCGTTCACTGCATTAGGAACTCAGGTTGAATAAACTGTATTGTCGAATTTATGCTACCTATTCTAACTCGCTGCTTGACGAATAGAGTTTTGCCCCATTTGCGCCAGCTAAAGTGGCACAAAATTCATGGGGGAGTGATCATCGTTGAATGGGTCGCGGATATTAAAGCTCCTAACGACCTACTTTTGGGATGTTAGTCTGCATCGCCCTCTAGACCGGAATTCACGCCATCCACCTTGTACCTTACTTGACATTTTACAGACATTGGCCCAAAGCCACCCATCTGAGCCGCTTCTTCATTGGTTCCTAGCTAGAATGTTTGTTTTTAATGCATCTGCTGCTTCCTTAGGTTGATTATTCTCCGAGACAGTGACGGCCGCAGAGAAGTGGCGAAACGTCTGCAGCTTTAACTCTCGGCTCGGAGAACAATCCCACACCTTCAGACACAACCCGATCTACAAGGACTCTCAGTATCTCGATTCGTGGAATGTCGTTTCCCACAGCTACGTTTTGAACCAATCGTGTAGTCGATCTCTCCTTAATCTTTGTGAGGAGAGCATTGAGACTGACCTTGTTTGACTTGGACTCATTGGTCTGTTTGGTGTGAGCGAATCTGAAGTTGCATAACTCAGTGTATCTCGTTAGTACACAATCTGTCGCACTATGGTGACACTATACCTCACTGTACTTGTTCACGTATATTTCCTTTCCTACCTCTTAAGTGTTCCGGGATTCCGGGGTGCTGTTACACGGCCGTACTTACCCTTAGATGACTAGTCTTGCGACCCAACAATTTCTTTGTTCGTATATAATGCGATGGTACAATCTTTTGAAACAGTTATTTTTTAAAATCATATGCTAAGGTATGGTCTAAGGTGTCCGTCTATGTTTCGTGTGCATGGAAATGTCTGAGTAATTCGGTTTCACATCCGCGTCATTCCCCGTTGCCACCGGTTCTAGTGCAATCCCGTAGCTAGCCTGGTATATTTATATCTCTTCAGCGTTACCCAACACACGCTTCGTCCGAGTATTCTCTAACTTTTAGGACGGTGTAGGATGCGTTCTCGCTTAGTCTAACCTTCAGTAGACATTAAAGCATATTCCATGTTCACAAACCTTATATTCACCTTCTGTACCACGTTATGGACTAGCTAACTGCTTCTTGTCGGTCGAAATGCTCCACACGGATGCGCTTGCTCCCACTATTTTCATCCTCTTTCGATGCCGTTATTCTTAATATCTCTGTGCTGATGCCCGTCTATATATGATGATTCTAAACGCCAGCCCTCTTCCCAAATCAGCTATCATTTGATTTTATCTTCACTGCCTCATCCGATAGATCCGTTCCTCCCGAGTCGTTCTGGTGTCCGTGCACCTCAAAGCCAGAGGACTACACGATAACATGATCGACAAGACCGTTTCAGAAGTGAAATGCTTGGAGAACCTGATTCAAGCGTTTCACGATACCCAGCCTGGTAGGTTTGGATTTTTTAAGACAAACGTCAATTCATCTGAGGTTCGTATACCACAACTGCTTGATTGAAGCCTATTCTATTTTAGTCATTCGAACTTGCTGTTTGACATTCTTGTGATGGCCTAGCCAACCCTCAGTAAACTCTCCGGTATGGTTCTGCAGCTGAGTATTCATCCTTTATGGGTACATATAAAGCATTCTTGACTTAATTAATGGCATGCGCTTCGCACATCCAAAGTGTTGCAGGACCGCCAACCAATTGGTGAATCCCTGATTCTGGACAACAACCAGGTACTGAATATAGTTAAACAATGCACCTATCTCTGCGACTATAATATCAGCGATAGTTGCGTGACCGATGAAGTTTGGCCACAGCTTGAGAAAATATTGGACCGCTTTTTGAATCCGCGACATCTGTGGTGCTAGAAGGGGGTTTTTCCTCAACCTATTATTCCTTATGTACCACGTCCCAGTGCGATCGTTCTACCACCGTACGGCAACTGAATTCGGCCCCTTCGGTCTGAGTTATCATAATTCTTCTCCACTTTGGCTGGGAGTGAGCGACACCATAGCTGTTTTGCCCAAACAAGGGGATAATCCTAGTGATGCATTCATAGCCCATGCTTCATCAAAGCGCCGTCTTACATCCAACACTGTTGAAGGACCGACAGCGTACGCGTCTGTTGTTCCCACGTACATGGCACAGTCCAACAAAGCATCGATCGCTGTCAAACTGGGGGCGGTTAGTGTTGCCAATACTACGGCGGGACTTAGGGTGTCATCAGTTGTCTTACCAAAGAAAGCAGCTTCTCGCTATACCAAAAAGAAGGCACCAGACAACATCATACTCCCCTGGCTGTTATATGATCCGAAGTGCACGAGTCCGAAACAAACTCGATCAAAGACAAACTGTTAGGCGACCGGAAACAGTGGGACTCCATGTGTCAACTAATTGTAGTCCAAGCTAAACCGACCAGTATGATGCCCTTCGTCTGTCATCCAAACTCGGAACACTACGGTGAACCACGGCTATTCCAAGTAACGCTTCAGTCAAAAGATGATGCAAAGGCGTTTTCTTGTCAACCACTCATCTGCCAACTACTAAATGCACTGAATGCAACTTTCTATATGTTCGTGGTAGAGAACGTCAGAAACGCAAACAAAATCCGAATGACTATCGATAGCAAAAAGCCGTAAAATCAACGCTTCTTCACGGTGTTCCGGAGCTTCAGCATTCAAACGAACAAGAGACACAAACACGACTGGGACGACTGATGCTCCATCCACAATGTTCTCTCACTCTCTCTCGTAAACGGGATCTTCAGTTCTACATCAAGCTTGCCATTGTCACCCAACTACAAAGGGTACGGTCCATGAATGATGTGAACTATGCTTCAACCCAAACCTATGGCAGAAATTCTGCTCGAAATATAGTACAAATACGCACAAAGCTGCCATCTGATATACATATAGAGGCGATGGGCATTCAGTTACAAATAGACGAAATAACACCGAACAAGCAGGTCTCGTGCGTTACCACATCAGCATGAATCTCCTCATCGAGACGCTGTCCAAAAACCGAAAGACCTCTAGGTAATCAACCACTTGCTGTCACTGAGTTCTCTACACAGCAGCCCAGGTTGGTCCCGGGGCCTTCGTCGGCAATTCAACAAAAAGCGACCAGCAGCCGACCTCACAAGGCTCGGCGTAGAATCTCACCTGCAATCCGCATTCACAATGACGCTCCTAACATCCGAAGCTTTTATCTGCACGTATGCGGACACTCAAGGTTTTCTGAGTAAGCTAGCCGAAAGTCGTACTTGTCAGGTTTTAACGCCTTACGACATCGTCTTGATAACCGCAACATGATCGAATACTGAGATAAGTGCTGCTGAGATAGCTCTGCGCGGCATGCTTCTCTTATGAAATGATCAACTTAGCGAAGGCTTGGCAATCTGGTATTACCAACATGACCTACATATTGAATTTATCGACAATTCTGAGACACAATTTGTCGACTCTGTACGGTGCCGTCTGCCCCTGAGACGTGATGACGTCTTTATTAGCGATAGTTTACTGCCCTCCCGTATCCACTTTTTCTGTAATATGTGTCTTAGTATTGTCATACAGTCACATTTTCCTGATGCAATGGAAGTCTCGATTTCTCTCAGGTCACAAATTAAGGCGGAATCGTAGGAAGTAGCCCTATTTAACCACCTCAGTGCTCCCACGCCATTCGGAACGGGTGAGGAACCATCGGTTCTGGATCTATTACTCACTAGTGGTCAATAACATAACCATAGGTGCACCGCTTTGCCACAGCGATCATGCGATGCTGCTCATGGAAATGGCGTTTGCTGGGCACGACCTGCAAGGCGTTGAACTGTTTTTTTAGTGAGCTACTTCTTGACTTGGAGTATGTTGATGACATTGTCTTGATCTGTGACAATTCCCAAATGTGCCAAGCAGCAGTGGAGAAATTCTCATTGGCTGTCAATCGTTTTGGGCTCTGCTTTGCTCCATCGAAATGCAAAGTCGTTTACCAAGCTTGAAAGGGATCACCCCTGCACTGACCCTTGATGACGATCAGTTAGAAGTCCTACAGAAATTCAACTATCTAGGCAGCTGTATTAGCGCCAGTGGAATAGAAGAAAGGATCGCAAAAGCTCGAGGTGCTTTTGTCAATCTCCGCTATCTGGGGCTCAGGCGCAACATAAATCTCTCATTCGAGGGCAGAGTTTACAACGCATGCGTGCGTTTAGCCATCTTATGCGGCTGTGAAACTGTCCATCTGATCAATAGCCCTAAAGCAACTTGTTACGTTCGACCGTTGCTGCCACGGCGGCGGTGTCTGGTGGGAACACCGCCTGAGCAATGAATGTGTTCGGCGTAGCGTATTTGGCACAGAAAGAGCGAGTGAATCGCTCGGCACCATTATACCATGCACCTGGCTCCGATGGTTGGGCCACCTGTTGCCCATGCCAGCACACCGACTCCCGCGACGTGCGTTTTTTGCGCGACCGGAGGAGGTGATAACCTTGGTGTCGGTTGGTAGGTCGCGACTGTCGGATTGAGGTTCGAAGGGCGATGAACACGTTTTGTTCTGAGTTTCTTTGTCCATCCTTTTCCCGTTTAGTTTTCCCCTACGACTACGACCTCACACTCAAAGCATAATATGGAGTTTCTGACTCAGTTCATGGGTCTAGCGTCAAATGCGTCAGAAACTATAGTCTTTCCTGTGGTGGCGGACTCGAAATAATATGCCCTTCAGTGATCCCTCCTGACTCGCTTATGAAACCTGTCTGATAATGCACGCCTGGAGTGCCTACATAACCCAACGTAACCATTACACCTAGTTGGTCAATGAAGACAAACTCAAACACCAACAAGACTTCTCCGTGAAACCCAACACTTATCTTAAAATGGAGTACAGGTACGTAATTAAGCCTCGCAGAATGCAGCTTGGAATCTCAATTACACCTGCAGTAGATGGTCTGGCGCTAACTACACAAGATGAAGCGAACTCACTTCGGCAATATTTCACCCACACTTTCCGGAGTGAATCGTCCCCTTATCCTTTTTTGATACCGCTCACACCGCCATAGTTAAGCCATGTATCCTTCACTGCAGAAAATGTGCTAGAAAGACTACTGTCCCTCCACATGCACGGTTCTAGCGCTTACCAAAGGCATTATAGGCAGCCGCCATGAACATCGCTGACCTGTTAGCTCTAATCTCTCAGAGACACAATCATGACATGCAGGTTCCCACAATGTGGAAACATCTAATAGTCACTCCCAAAAGTGACAGTCTTGCGGTACCATCGAATTGCCGTCTGTCGCAACGAGACTAGACCCTAACGTGGTGCGAAGGTTTGCGTACCTCGTCGACCAATTGAGCTATGTTGGATGGTGCCCCCGGGCCCCTTGAGAGCTACTCCAGCAGCTTAGGCAATGGTTACAGGTCAGACGAACTCAGCCTGGGATGGCGTCCATTTCTGCAAATCTAAATCATTGCCACCTCCCCGCTGCCTTGCGGACAGGCTTTTGAGCCAAAGGCTTTGGTTGCGGACCCTAATCGTCATCCTGTCTAGCTTTGGGCAACCTAGCAGTACCTCAGCTTACTTAAAACCCTGACTGCTTCAAAATCCAACCATATCCTGCTTCGGCCGTTGCGCAGCCTATCAAGGGTCGCCTTATCTGCTGCATACAGCTGTTCGGATAAACGAAAACATTTAACTGCTGAAGACTCCGTTCTTTCCTTTCCAATTGTTTCTCTTACCGCCCTCCAAATTCCCACTATTAGCCTTCCATCTACAATTCTGAGTTTAATTAATAGCAACCGCAATGTCACTGGAGTCATGCTAATCATCAACAACTCCTTATAAGGCCACACTTTCCCATGTACCTGGCGGCCTTCAACATTCACACTCTAAGATAAATAGGTCAACGGGCTTCACTCGCATGCACGTTAGATACACTGGGTATTGTGTGTTGCGTATCCTGAAACTAGGATCAATGCCTCTCATGGAGTTGTTGAATTAACTTCGCCTGGTTTGCCCTCTCGCTATTGGTTGGTCGCATCCGGAGACGCCGATGCAGCACTCACGAGTCAAGCTGGGGTAGGTATCGTACTCAGCTCCAAGGCTGAGTCATGGTTGGTTAATTGGAGTCCCGTGAGCATCTCGTTTAACGACATGGACCATTGTTGATTCACGAAGTATTACAAGGCGCCGTTTGCTTGTGGTTTCCGTTTACGCTCCCACAGACTGCAGTTCTGATGCTGCCAAGGGCACATTTTGCCACAAACTGAACACGCTACTACGCAGTGCTACCAGTTTAGATATCATCATACTTCCAGGGGATATGAATGCACAAGTACATCGCTTGAGCTCTTCAGAAGCTCAGTTAGGTGGTAATTATGGGCTTAACTCTGATCGTACGGACAACGGCGAGCGTCTGTTACAACTGTGTGCGGGGCACGAGCTGTTTCTTAGTAGCA